GCCTTTTTGCTAACTTTCTGAACCTGGCTGCCAAATAAACTTTTCCTGTATCCTGAGAAGTCTAAAGACTGTCATTTTCTGCAACAATATGAGGAAATCACTGCTTATCTTAGTCACCCAATTCATAACCAAAATAAGGTTCACATATTGTTTTTGACAAATGGAGTAAAGTTTTGCTTCTGGTATGTTAAATCACTACATTTATATTGCACCCAGAAAATATCACAATGATTTAGTTTTGTGGTATGACAACAGTATATAGATAAGTACAACACTATTAAAATAAATCTAATATTTAACTTGAATTTAGACAATATACATTTAAGTGAGGTCTGGCATTAGGAACAGCTCTCTAGGCAGAGATTGAATTCATGCAGAGACATGTCTGAACATGACTTAACCTGCACAGCTTCCGTGATAGTTTTTATGCCTTCTTCCTTTGTCTTGAGATTATTTATGCTAAAAAACAAAATAATTAGATTTTGTCCAATATTATTATAGATAAGTTACAATAGTTAAAATGTACTACCGTAATGTCACTAATTGAAATGAAAATGAAGATGGGATCACAGGAAAACTAAGCCTGATTTTGGGGGGGGGGGGATCTGATTTCATTTCAGAAAACAGCATGGAAAAAAAACCTACTTAGGACCCTCATTAGAATCCATGTGGCAGCATTGTTATTGACCAGTGTTCTTAAAACAGTAATATCCACATCCAATATATTTTATTTAATTCATTAAAGAAATCAGAGGCTGCCCAGTTCCAAATTACTCTGGAGGACTTATACTTTGAAATCAGGAGCAATAAAAGAACACACATATGTATCCAGAAGAAAAGGCATAAATAACTTTAAAAACCTATTCTAGGGGTTCAACAGTCACCCTATCCCAAGGGTTGGGAGAATAGTCAAAAGTCCAATTACTTTTTTAATGTCAGGATGTCTTTAATGTCTCACAAAGTATTTGAGAGACCTCAATAGTTGCTTGAGAAAAACAGAAAAGGAATCAGAAGTGACTGAAGGACAAAAGTAACAGCAGGAGCTGAATTAACACCAGTGTAAGAGACATTAAACTGGGAATATTTTGAATTAGGCCATACTAACCTAGCAGTCTGAGAATAGACATGATTATCACGTAGGTTAGAAATTTCATTCAGTTACTCTCTTTCGGTAAACAGCAGAGATTTTTGCACTGTGACTTTAAGCTTTCTATATGAGAAATGTAGAAAGAACTTTTCTACTCCTTCTCTTTTGTCAATGCCTTTTACCTAGAGCCCAATAATCTTCATCTAAAAAAATATTTTATGCATCAAAGTCAGTTGGTTGAATTTTTGCCCTAAAATGTCTCGTATTTTAGAAAGTCCTTCACAGAGAAAAACTTTGGTTGTAGACATCTCCCTCTTCACATCTCCATAGTGATGAGAACAACTAGCCACCCTTTCACGTTTCTTTGCAATTAAAACTTGTCTGGCTAGAGATAACCGAAGGAGGTGGAGCAGCAATAAGAAGCCTCCATTCCACTTTTTAGCCTGCAACTCTCAATCATACCATTAATATTCAGTAGTCATATAATGTACTGTATGTCTAGTAGCTTTCTTGGAAGCACAGTATATATATTTTGGCCTAGAGAGTATATCTATAGTCTAGGTAGGGGGAAGGCGAGCACTGAAAATGGCACTGGAGTTTGAACTATTTCTTAGAACTTAGCTTAAAGGTTTTAAGGATATTAATATGTACTGATTGATAGCAGAGGATTGGATATAGACAAGTTGTTTAGCTGGTTCTTGCTATATGGAAGCAGTGGTGAGTTGCAGGCAGTATGCCCCAGTATGGGCATACCGGTGCCTGCCAGGAGCACCGGGTACCATTCCAGTATGGTGCTCCGGAGGGCCCACCTGCCCGCCCGAACTCCTTACCTGTATTTAAGTTCTTTGGGGCTTCCGCGCAAATGCACGGAATGTATGGCGCCTGCGCAATGCTCCGCTGAGCAGCTGGAGCATCGCGGAGGCATCACGGAGGTAAGGACACATGTGTGTGTGCGCGGGCTGCGCGTGTGCATGTGGGAGACGTCGGGCCCATTGCACCGTACCGGTTGCATCGGGATCTGGAACCCACCACTGGGAGGAGGGCAAAATTAGAAAATCTTGTATGATAGACAGCCGAGGAGCAATGTGATGAAACAAGGTTTTGCTTGGTCTGATGACTCTATCCCATATAAACAAATAGATTGTATGAGAGATTTGGTACCAAAAACCAAAGGAGTATTGTTCAATTTACCCTGCGGTACAGCTGCACCTAAACTAAAGTGCTTATTTGGAACAACAGAAGAAAAGTGAAGGTACAAGGCCATTTTTCCCCTATGCTTTAGTAATAAGGGAGACATTACTTCTCCTTCCTCTAGGCCTTGGTTTCCAGTGGGCCTCATTTATAGTGGCCATTTCCACTTTAGGGAGGAAAGGAATGTGAAGATGTACATCTGAATATTTGTCATCACATCAGTATGAGCCATCAAGTCCAGTAATATTTGGGGAAATTCTACTGCCTCCTTCAAGCACTACGCACCTCCTCCGGCACCTCACCCGCCAGGATGGGTTCACTCATCTGAAAAACAGAATATTTCCTCAGAAGTTGCAGGTCAAACTTATTTCAAATCAGTGGGTAAAACTATGCTTCTATTACCTTGACAGGCCTTCCCTAATGACTTCCCTAATGAAAGTCCATCTCCAAGCAAATCCTAGTGACTTTATCTGCTAGAACCTGGAATATTTTTCCAGCAGCCCACTAAACTCTGGCTCTTCCATTCTTAGTAAGCAACGAGTTATAGTAAAAGAGGGTCGCTGGACAACGACTGATGATAAGGGCAAACAATTGTTTTTTGTTATATTGCTATTGGTGGAGATAGTTTAATATATTCCTGTAGGAGCAGGAGATATTCCTGTAGAGGAGCAGAATAGATGACTTAAGGGGACTTATCTAGCTCATGCATTCTGATTCTATGAATCAAATGATGAAATTATCACACAACTTCTTTATTTATTCTTCCTGCCTTTTTTCCATTTCTCCCATTCCCTAGGATTCCCCCCAAAATACTTCTGTATACTTTTGTATGTCTGCTGACAGGCTGATAATAGTTTGTAAAAATATGTATTGTTCTGACTGTATAAACAACGAAATTTAAAGCTGAACATGAGAATTAGAGATTATGATTGACATAAGATGTCTAGCATATCTATAATATCAATATCTCAAACATTTCAATTCCTTTTTTGAGTTTAACATTCCTTTGTATTTTAGCACAAAACTGAAGAGAATTGTTGGAAGTTAAAACACACCCCTCTCCTAGAGAAATGAAATATTTTAGGAAATATTTTAAAAGGCAGAATATTTCCCCTAAAAGAGAAGTAGAAACTCAAGACAGGCAACAACTCAGTGGCCCCCACCNAATAGTTTGATTCCCTCTTCTTTGTGGCAACCCCTGAGATATTGGAACACTGCTATCATGTCTCCCCTTGTTCTTCTTTTCATTGCAGTTCCTGCAATCGTTCTTCATATGTTTTAGCCTCCAGTTCCCTAATCATCTTTGTTGCTCTTCTCTGCTTTCTTTCTAGAGCCTCCACATCTTTTCTACATCGTGGCGACCAAACTGAATGCATTAGAATGCAGCTCAGATAGGTTGCTTTCTTATGGACGCTTTTCTCCTCTAACTGGCTCGGTCTAAGCTATGGCCAATGGTTGGTAAAGGCTCGATCTCTCCCATAATTTCTTTCAATTTAATCCTTTAAAACAGGATTTGGAGGCTTCTATGTTTGTCCCAGCTACCAAGGAGGGCAGGCTTATCAGGCGCCTCTCTCGAGTTCCTAGGCGACATTCATAAACGAAACCAAGATCGCCGCTGCCGCCCACCTCGCTTTCTCCTTCAAAGCTCTTGAAAAGAAGCGGAAAGAAAATATTGGAAAGAGGCGGGGCTCATACATATTAATCGATTCTAACGCGGTCGCCATAGCAACACAGTAAAGGTTATTGACGGCTCTGCTCCCTGATTGGTGGGCGGAGGGCTCAATGACGGAACCACCTGTTTGGGTGGACTCTGAAGAGAAGGCCTGCTGGCTCCTCGAAAGTAAATTTCGCGCGAGTGGGTGGGGTTTATACTAATGAGGCCGGGGAAGGAGGCTGGCACTGCCAAGATGGCGACGGAAAGGAGTCGCTCTCCGGTGGGGGGCTCGCCAGTGCCGGCCTCGATGTTCGCCCCAGAGCCCGTGGCGCACGGCGGGACAGTGGCGGCTTTCTCTAGGCCTCACGGCGGCGTCCCAGAAGCTGACTGCAGCGAGGACGGCGAGCTGCTGAACGGAGAGCCGGAGCTCGATCTTACCAGTAAGGTAGGCCTGGCGGGACTGGGGAACGAGAGTCGAGACGGCCGGAGGAGGTGAGGGCGGCTGTGACTGGTCCGGGTCGCGCTCCTTTGACCGTCTCGTCATTCGTTGGAGTGGTCCCCTCTCTTGCCACCCACACCGGGTCTGTCCTTGTTCAGATAGTCCTTTGGGGAACTTCATTCGGGGTCGTTTCACTAATGTTTACTGTAAGTGAATTGGCTAGGTAGGAGGTGGTGAAAGGTTGGCAGCTGCTGCCCTTGTCGAGGATAACGATTGTGAGAACCTGTGTCTCTGAAAGAAAATACCCGTGAGGGTATAATCCAGGGTGCTTCTCGGGATCTGAGTCGGAGTACGTGGCATTCACCCTTGGCACGTGTCTGGATTCAGAAAGTTAATACATGCTTGGGATAGTCTTGAATGAGTTTTCCCATAAATAAGGAAAAAAGTGGGACTTAATTCTTCTGCAAACATCTTTAGAATAGTTACCTTGGTTTTTTTTCCTTATATGTTCATTGTCAGTTGTTTGAAAGTTGGGGTGTAAGTTATGTGTATAGACATCTGGGTACCATCTATTTTAATATTGCATTTTTCTGATCAAAAAAGAACTTGTGATAGCACCTCATGTTTGTTTGTTAACCTGCTTGGCATGGTTATGCGATGCACTGGAGAGAGATGGAGTCTGAGCAATTTTCACTAGTCATGTAATCTGATGACCAGATACTGACAGATCAGGCTTCTGTTGCTGTGCTGTAGTGAACTTTGCAGATCTAGGTAAATAGAAACTGTTGTTAAAGTACTGGAATGGTTATGTATCCTCTGGAACATGATAACATTCTGGGTATTATACCATGTCAGAAGCAGCATTTATTCTTCATAGTTTTAAATACAGTCTTCAAAAATAAAGTCAATTTCAGATATAATATTGCTTCCTCATCAAGTAGTATAGCTGGGTATTTTTGTTTTATCACTATTTTTCTTTATCATTTATTTTCTTCCTTTTGAAAGCAACTTGTGATATATTACTTGAATTTTGTTTTAGCTGTATTGTTTGATGTGTTTGTTCATTGAATTGTAATTGATTAAAACAATGTTTATCTTAAGAGAAATAACTTGTTTGAATAGTTAATAAGAAGTAAATGCCTACTCTCTCCATTTAGCTAGTAATGGTGAGCCCAACATCCGAACAGTATGATAGTTTACTCCGACAGATGTGGGAGAGGATGGATGAAGGATGTGGAGAGACCATCTATGTTATTGGTCAAGGGTCAGGTAAGTACTCTATGGTTTTTTTAATGCCAAATGCTGAGATTTTAAGAAACAGTAGTTTTGCAGAAGTAGCTCAATTGATTATGCTTGGGAAAAAGAAAGGCTAATATATAATATCTACTTTTTCTCATTTTCACCTCTAGCTAGTGCTAAATCACACCATAATAACAAGCACTGTTTTCAGTTGTCAGTGCCAACTAATTATTAATCACATCATAAGTGTTCATATTTTCTTCCTGAACAAAACTGGAATACTATCCTTTATGAACAGTGAATGTATAGAAGTAATGTGCTGCATTTTGATAAAGCATGTTCAGAATAGCCATATAAAATAAAAACAATACAAGTACTCCTTGATTTATGACCACAGTTGAGCCCAAAATTTCTGTTGCTCAGTGAAACATTTGTTAAGTGAGTTTTACCCCATTTTATGACCTTTCTTGCCACAGTTGTTAAATGAATTACTGTAGTTGTTAAGTTAATAACATGGTTGCTAAGTTAATCTGGCTTCCCCATTGACTTTGCTTGTCAGGAGCCCACAAAAGATGGTCCCATGATCCCAGGACACTGCAACCATGATAAATATGAATCAATTGCTAAGCATTTGAATTTTGATCACATGACCATGGGAATGCTGCAACAGTCATTAGTGTGAAAAATGATCATGTCACTTTTTCAGTGATGAACATCACTAACACCTATCCTCCGCGAGCTGCACTGGCTGCCCATTGGTCTCAGGACAACTTTCAACTAGTCGTTACTTTTAAAGCCCTACATGGTATCGGACCCGGTTACTTGGGAGACCGCCTCCTGCCAGTCACCTCCCAAAGACCTATTAGATCCCGCAGATTAGGCCTCCTCCGAATTCCATCTGCCGGCCAATGTCGGCTGGCGACTCCCCAGGGGAGGGCCTTCTCTGTGGCCGCTCCGGCCCT